CACGCTGACAGCTCCCCGTCTCCCTACACCCTCCTCTTGGCCCGGGCGTTTCCTCTGACCTCACGGCCGCCGCGCCACGCCGCGCCATGGACGAAAGACCCCGACGCCCGGCGTCTTGCCCGTTGCCCAACGGAGCGAGAAAACGTCGCGACCGAGGAAGAGGGCCAGGGGGGTGGCGTTCCTGCATGGCATACCGGAAGCGTGGCGTGGCTGCACAGAAGGTTGGGGGGTGGGGGGAACCACGGATTGCAAGGTGAATCCATGGGGCGCTCAGGCGTTTCGGTGGGACACCTCGTTGGGTCCTTTCTCGCCACCGTCGCCTGCGGGAGGCTCCCAGCTCCCAGCTCCTGGCGGAGGCTGACCGGGTTCCCGGGGCGCTGATTCATGTGAGTGACGTCTGCGGGGGTCTAGGGTGGGCAGGTTGCGATCGTGGGGTCTCCCCTTCCCTAACCAGCCCTCGGGAGGTGAGAGCTGGCCTGCGGGTACCAATGGGAAGCCTGCTCTCAGACGCACCCATCTGGGCGGGAGGAAGTAGGGAAGAGCCGGGGGCGTTTTGAAGGAGCCAAGTTTGAGAAATGGGATGCGGGGGTCGAGGGAAGCGATGCTTTCGTGTATTCACAACATGTTTATTTTAGTGCGCGCTTGTATGTGTCAAAGGACTGTGATGGTGACGTGTGTGGGGGGGGGGAAGGGACAGGAATTCATTCATTTATTGAGCGCCCACTATGTTCCAGCTCTGGGAACAGAGCAATAAACAAAACAGACCAAAATTCATGCCTCCCCGGCTTAACATTCTATCGAGGAGGACAAGGGCTAGACAAAGTTACGAAAAACACACCATATTTTAGGTTGTAATGATCGCTAAAGAGCAAAATAAAGCCGAGAAGGAAGATAAAGATTGAAATTTTAGTGTGGCCAGGGAAGGTCTCACTGAAAAAGTGACTATCCTACAGCAGAAGAGCGGACAGAGGTGAGAGGATTAACAATACAGAAATCTTGGCGACGTGCAGCCAGGCAGAGCGACCGGCCATTGCTAACGCAGTGAAGCAGAAACTCGCCTGAACAGCAAACATCTTGTGGGTCAGAGTTGAGTGAAGTTGTTAAAGCTGGAGACAAAAGTCAGGGAAAGCAGGAGCAGGTCCTTGAAGGATCTTGAGGGCATCTAAGCCATGGGCAGGTTTGGAGTGCTAGAATCTGACTTCATTTTTATTTCCTTTTTTTAAGTATTTTTATTGATTTCAGAGAGGGAGAGGAAGAGAAAGATAGAAACATCAACGATGAGAGAGAATCACTGATAGGCTGCCTCCTGCACACCCCCAACTGGGGATGGAGACCGCAATCCGGGCCTGTGCTCTTGACTGGACTCAAACTGGGGACCCTTCAGTCCTCAGGCTGAAGCTCTATCCACTGAGCCAAACCAGCTAGGGCCTGACTTCATTTTTAAAAAGATCTCACTGGCTGCTGTCATCAGATAGACTGACGCGGGGGCAGGATGGAGGAAAGATGGTTAGGAGGCCTTTGCAGCAATCCAGAGCAGACATGATGGTGGCTTGAGGCGGGCTGGTAAGAAATAGCCAATCATATTCTTAGTGTTTGTATTGCTTTCAGAGAGGAAACGGGGAGGGAGAGAAAGATAGAAACATCAATGATGAGAGAATCATTGTCAGCTGCCTCTTGTTCACTCCCTGCTGGGCATCCAGCCCAAAACCCAGCCAGGCATATATATCCTGACCTGTAAATGAACCATGACCTGGTTCATAAGTCCATGCTCAACCCCAAGCCACACTTGCTGGGCATATTCTTAGTGTTTTTAATTTTGATATGTAAGAGTATTAATGAGTGGTGAGTTAATTTTTTTTTAAATTAGACTTGGGAAAGACTTTTTAAAAATGAATTGTAGTCTGTCACAGAGTGGCAGTCTGAAGGCAGTGTTGGTCTGACCCCTCTCAGGACCCCGGGGTAGGCCCCACCCCAGCCTCTCTTGTCTAACTTCCTACCTAACAGTTCTATTCCAGGTCAGGGCACATACCCAGGTTGTGATTCCTTCCCTGCTGACCCTGGGGCAGCCATTGATGTGTCTCACTTCCTCCATTTCCCTTTCTCCCTCTGGAATCCATGAAAAACATATTCTCGAATGTGGATTTTATAAATAATAATAAAAGAGGTCTTTCAATAAATGATACAGATCTGACTAAGTGATAAGAAAACATTGAGTTATCAGCAGTGGCCTTTTTTGTTTACATAAAATAATAGGGCATCCTGTTATTGGAGCCATTTTGCAATTGACAGTATCTTAGATTTGATGAAATGTGGTAAAGTATCTGAGATTATAAGTGTTTACCTAATTGTAATTCTGAAACAGTAGAATCGGATGTTTTTGGGAAGCAGAGATACAATTTTAAATACCTTTAGAGATCCTATACTATAAGGTAAAATTTAAAATCTGAACTTAAAACTTCCATTTCAAAACAATAGCTTACTTGTTTATATTTAGTTCCTAACATAGAGAGCCTGAGGCAGGGGATTATTTAAAAGAAATGACTGGCAATTTAGAATTAGAGTGGGGAAGACTACTGAGGAGATTGCTGAGGTAAAGGGAAGTCATTCAGAAACGATAAAAATTTCAGGAATAATCTTTTATATGTGTGTTTTAATGATTAGGATGCAGGCTAAATTCATATATTTGGTAAAATCAGCTTCAACTTTTACCAAGTTTTTATTAGAACATCTTACCACAGCTTCTTAGGTTTGATAAAATGTGATTGTTATGATTGGGGTTCCCAGCTGGGACCTCAGTTTTTCTCTTCCATGCAGAAAAGATTTAAGGTCAATGAAAATGAAAGTAAAATAAAGTGGGATTTATTGAAGATACACTGCAATTGAGAGAGATAGTGGCAAAAAGATGTTATCAGGGACAGGAGGAGATGAGGAGACCTGGGTTCTTGTCTTCTTGAGAAAAAATTTCAATCAAGAGACAAAGTGTAGAAAAGCAAGCAAGCATTTATTGACCACAGCAAAAATATACGTAGGACAGTGAAACAAGGAAGGGCATAGGAGAAGCAACAGGAGAGCCGAGGCCGGGCTGCTTTGGCTCTCTGGGAAGTCAGACAATAGGGGCCTCGGAGACAGGATCAGGGTGCACACCAGAATGAGCTGCTGCTGCCCACTGCTCCCCTGGTTGCACGTCTCTGGGGGCCCCTTAGAAGTAAGGGGATACTTTCCAGGCTTGGGGGGAGCAAGGTAAGGAGAAGGGAAAGGGAATCGCATGGGGGTGCTCTCTGGTGGGCCTTTAATTTTCTGGGGCTTTAAAGGCTGGGCATTTAGGGGAGGTCTTAGGGGCAGATCAATAGAATATTCACTAACTTTATGCTGATGTATCAAAATGAGATTTATTCTCCCATCCAAGTACTAACCAGGCCCGACCCTGCTTAGCTTCCGAGATCAGATGAGATCGGGCACGTTCAGGGTGGTATGGCCGTAGACAGAGATTTATTCTCAATCTGCCTGTCCTTTTTCTCTCTCTAAATGTTTTGTATTTGTAATTACTGTGCATGTAAATAAAGATATCTATTTTAATCTCATAATCTTTTTCTTTTATTTTAGCATAGACTAAGCCAGCATTCCCAAACAGTTTTAGAGAATACTAATTTGAATAAATATTAATGTATGTTCTTAGGTAGGGATTCCATAGTTAAATCCATTGAGAAATGATTCACAATTATATCCTTTAGGGAAACTATAGCTTGGGCATTAAAAAAAGTAACTCCAGAATCAGACAGACCTAAGTTTCAGTTCTCATTTACTAACTAGCCACATGACCAGGGGCAAATTAATTTTAATTAAACTTAAAGCTTTCTTTCCGTATAATGGAGATAATTACAGTATTTGTAGGTGGTCTATGAAAACACTTAGCAAGCTCATAATAAATACTCCACAAATGTTACCTGTTATTATTATTATTAACATTATCACCTGTGAGAAAGCCTTGCATATTAGCATATTCAAAGCCACAAGGAGCCCTAGCCAGTTTGGCTCAGTAGATAGAATGTTGGCCTGTGCACTGAAGGGTTCTGGGTTCAATTCCAGTCAAAGCCATGCACCTCGTTGCAGGCTCAATCCCAGGCCCTGGTTAGGGCTTGCACAGGAGACAACCAATCTATGTGTCTCTTATATCCATGTTTCTCAAGAATATGTTTAAATTTTCTGTCTACTATAAACTGAGCACATAGCTCAAAATCAGGGACTATAAGTAAAATTAAGGTTGTGAACTTTATTTTTAGTGATTTGGCAGGTAACATAAATGGAAGACAACAGGGAGTGGTAAAGTCTGTTTTGCCTTGCTTAAAAGCATTTCCTTTCAGTTACAGACACTGTTAACCCTGGAATACAAAGGCAACCCTGATCTGTGTGGTGATAGTTGTAATCCCAGCAGGCCAGTGATCAGCAACAAAGTCTGAAGAACGTTAAGTACAGGTCAAAGAGGAGCCCTGAAATAGATGCCAAGGAAGTAGGTGAAATCAGGTGATAAGTATCCTTCATTTTCGAAGTTAAGAAAATGAAGGGCAAAAAAAATAAGGGAAGCATAGATACATAAATTTTTCAAAAAAAAAATCAATGGATAAAATATCCTTAAGTAAAGCTTAACAAAAATAAATAGATTCGTACATACATTCTTCTATATAATAAAAGCCTAATATACAAATTGTCCCCTCCACCGGGAGTACGGCCGCTCACTATGACGTGCGCAGACCACCAGAGGGTAGCGCGGAACATGGCGGGTGTCAGTGATGTGGCGCTGACAGCAGGCGGCAGTGGAGGTGCTGCCGGCCCTGATGGGCCCTGACGAGAGCAGGA